CGCAACGAAAATATTTAGTGTGCTACTTTACGTGGTCGAGTGTCAGCGATGTTGTTTCCTCCGCATGTGGTTATTACATGGCAAGCTTGCTTATGGCCTGAGGGTCTACCTTTGTTGTAAAACGAAATACTGTTTGTATAAACATTATGCTTACTGCACGAAAAAATCAATCATCTTCTCTTTTAATTCTTTAGTTTTTTTAAGCCTGTTTTGATTTTAATCAAACGATCATTACAAAACACCCCGAGTTTTATTCAATCAAACCTTAACTCAATGTGAACAATATTTTAAGCTAGGAAATGACGGAGTGCCTTGCAACAAAATGCAGCAAACTTTCCCCTCATAGGATAAAAACTTTATATGCTCCTAATGTATGGTAAAAAGATCTTCCCAATTTTGTCGAGCGATCTATTCTCTGATCTGCTGAAATCAGCATAGTTCACCAAGTTAAAACAATGCATTACTTACTTTGTTGTATCAGTTTTACTTTACCGACGAAGACCATAAGAAAGCAACGTCAATGCCACTTTGATAAAATAAATTTTTTCATGATCTCTCTCTTCTACACGATTGCATGGCTGTACCAAAGACCGGGTCTTGCGCAACGCGCGAAAAGAGAAGATAAGAGCGCGAAAAACTTTTGGAGACACGTTTCTTTGGATTGAACAAATGAAATAGTTGGTGTATACTACTCGCCGTGGGGCCTTGTGATAACATAACAAAACACAATGAGAAAGAACAACACAACATCAGTGAACATCACTGCTTTTTTAGTCACGAAATGACCGTTGCGTTAGAAGCAGGTTTTTCGTCCATGATTCAGATTCTGTAGATTTAGCTTTTGTTTTGCTCATTTTCCTAGAAAGGGACGTCTAGTCCGACAACAGACTGAAAGCCGCAACGAAAATATTTAGTGTGCTACTTTACGTGGTCGAGTGTCAGCGATGTTGTTTCCTCCGCATGTGGTTATTACATGGCAAGCTTGCTTATGGCCTGAGGGTCTACCTTTGTTGTAAAACGAAATACTGTTTGTATAAACATTATGCTTACTGCACGAAAAAATCAATCATCTTCTCTTTTAATTCTTTAGTTTTTTTAAGCCTGTTTTGATTTTAATCAAACGATCATTACAAAACACCCCGAGTTTTATTCAATCAAACCTTAACTCAATGTGAACAATATTTTAAGCTAGGAAATGACGGAGTGCCTTGCAACAAAATGCAGCAAACTTTCCCCTCATAGGATAAAAACTTTATATGCTCCTAATGTATGGTAAAAAGATCTTCCCAATTTTGTCGAGCGATCTATTCTCTGATCTGCTGAAATCAGCATAGTTCACCAAGTTAAAACAATGCATTACTTACTTTGTTGTATCAGTTTTACTTTACCGACGAAGACCATAAGAAAGCAACGTCAATGCCACTTTGATAAAATAAATTTTTTCATGATCTCTCTCTTCTACACGATTGCATGGCTGTACCAAAGACCGGGTCTTGCGCAACGCGCGAAAAGAGAAGATAAGAGCGCGAAAAACTTTTGGAGACACGTTTCTTTGGATTGAACAAATGAAATAGTTGGTGTATACTACTCGCCGTGGGGCCTTGTGATAACATAACAAAACACAATGAGAAAGAACAACACAACATCAGTGAACATCACTGCTTTTTTAGTCACGAAATGACCGTTGCGTTAGAAGCAGGTTTTTCGTCCATGATTCAGATTCTGTAGATTTAGCTTTTGTTTTGCTCATTTTCCTAGAAAGGGACGTCTAGTCCGACAACAGACTGAAAGCCGCAACGAAAATATTTAGTGTGCTACTTTACNAATAATTAATCTAAGATTGATTCATAGAAGGTGGTTTGCAACCATTCTGACAAAGACCCTGGCGGCCATTTTGGATAAGAGGAACAATAAAGGCAGTAATGGCCATCCAACATGGCGGCGGTGACGTCAGTTCTAAAGGAACTAAAATGTATGTTTTCCTGCCGCCGGATGGCTGACAGCGAACGCGCTATTCTTAACCGACTTTGACAGATTCTCAAGTGTGTGTTTTGTTCTTGTATGCAGATATCTTTAGTTTATCAAAGTACCTGACATTTACTTCCGTGCTTTTCACTGTCGATTGTTTCCTCAACGCTGCTATTGTTTGAAGAAAGTCTTTCCTCAGTTTACGCAGAAGAAGTTAACGGAAACCTGGGAAAATGTTTTCTTTAAAGGCGCAAAGGAATTCGCACCAACCTTTTTAGTCTATTTAAAATACAGTAAGTTTAAAAACTAAAAATGTGAAGAGATACGCTTGAAAGCTTGGGGTTGAAAAACGTCATTGGCGGCTCACCATTTTAAGGATCGTTTATTCGACGTTTTATAAGAATCGAAAGAAATTAACTTTTTTTACTGAACAATTTGTAAGCATGTTTCATTAAGCAAGTTTTGGTGCGAATAGTGTTTTTTTTTTTCAGTTTTTCTGACTACGGTTATAAGTCATACCAACTTTCTAATAGGTTCCTGTCACGTGTCATCGAAATATTATGGGACCATTCTGAGATCCTAGCAAGTGGTCGATGTGATTTACAGTGTAAAATCAAGGAAACACGGGACTAATACGTTAATACGGGACTTAAAACCCGACCTAAATGAAAACATCGGTAGTGCAAAACTCTTTCCTCATTAATTCACGCCGGATGTGGTTTCTTTTGTTCATTGTTGTCTAGCTAGTTACCAATACCTCGCTTTAGTTTTAGTCTTTTTAATCTTGTCATATTTTGTAACCGTCACTTCTGAAGATGTATGTTGTAGCATACGAAACGTCAAGTTTATTATACCATGCGAGACCTGTTTGTTATGTTTGTAACCGCTGTTTGTTTTTTCTTTCTCCTTGTATCAGGTCTCGTTATGTGTTCGTGCCACCCCTTAAAAGGGGATAAATCCACTTAGCAATGTTCCTCTCACAATGCCTCTTTCCGCCCAGAAGTATGAATGTGTATAAAGGGACTGATATAGCAAAACCTAACAAAATACTCTGGAATGGGGGTAGGGAGGGATAACATGGCATCCAGGGGAAATAGCAATTCCTATAGTCACACCGAACTGGATTGAAACGAACTCCTTTAGCTTAGGACGGCCAACTTGAAAATCGCATAGGATGATATTATAAGTAAAACAAAACAACACTGTTTAAAAGGCTCAGTGCTCATATGGAAAGTTGAATTCTCATGTCAGATAACTTCAGCAATAATAAACTATACAAAGCAGTCGTTTGAAATCCTCCAATTTTGTTGTTCAACTTTCTTTTCCTATCACCAAAATGGCATCAAGAAAATATTCTGGCAAATTATTCAAGCATTAATATCGCGAGTCACAAAATATGACCATGAATTCCACAAAATATGGCACTCAATTCCAGACGGCAATATATTTGGAAATCAAGGTGTTTTAATGCTAACTGGTTACATTTACATGACAAAAGCAGAGACGTCTTTATCAAAGCAAGATCACCTCCAGCCTGGCTTTCATTCATGGGCCAGGTCACTGAGCACACAACTGTAAAATGGCCTATTACGCGTTCGGACCTGTAGCTACCTGTGTAGTCCCGTTCGATTTCTGAGAGTCAAAGAATACAATTTTATGCGTTTTCAGACGATTGTCGCTACTTATCCGTTAATTGAGGTACGTTTCATACAAATACATACATGCATGTTTATTCAAATTTCTTATATACAAAAAATGTACATAACAAGTTATTAGTTCGCTGGGTGACACTTCAGTTAAGGACCCTGCAAGAACTTTAGATTTAATAACAGAATATAGCGAGTACAGTACTTCGGAAGCGAGACATTTCAATTCAAGAATCTATATTGCATTGTCTCAGGGCGCTACCTCGTCTCGAGGTACCGCTCTCTGGTTGGAACGTGGTGCGGACTGATTTGCTGTCCTGTCGCGTTCTGAAAGTCGTACGCGTTCAGCGTTTTGTCGCCCTATCATCAAAAACCGTGCACTCTGTTCCCGGTGTTCACCAGCGAAACGCAACGACGCCCGGGAGAGGAGACAGCCGAGGGTGCATTCAGGGCTATATCGTGAATTTTCGTATATGCCGTGACAGATTTTACAATTAGAATCCAAATAATGATCGGGAATAGCCTTTGAAACATTTATTGGTCATTAAGAGTATTCGAGGTTGACCCTGTCACTCTGTCAGTTGTGCTTGCCATCATGAGTGTCATGAAGATATTCCGTTGACAAAGAGTGTCTTCCACTTCCGCTCTTTTTCCTGTTAGTGTCAGTCTAAGCGTCTCCGAGCGAATCAGTGACACCAAACACCTAATGAATCGCGATCTAATGTCGTGATGGATGTCAAATTTGGCGATGATTGCCATATACGGATGTATTTTGTTACGCCTGAGTGCGCTATCAAATTTGCGCGGGAACATTTTATAATATGGACATTCTCTTATAGTCTTTAGCGAATACCTTCATCAAATAGACAAGTAAATGAAAGCGAGGACCTTATTTTCCAGTAAAACAATTCTTCTCTCTTGACCGGCAAAATCCCAGGTGCAATTTGACTTTCGGATGTTTTTTTTTGCGGTAATTTTGCAAGGCATCCCAGTTTGAAAAGAAATTCGTTCAACTGACACGTGTAATGCAGTAATGCAGCAAAATTCAACAGAATGAATATTCAATTGGATTGTGATCTATTACTGAACGTTGCCGAGAACGTATCAACTCCTGGTTGAAATTTAATATATCTTTGAATTGTGAATGAATAATATGATAGAAATAACTCTAACTTATACTTAAGTGAAGGTGTGTTGGTCGACTTCGAAAAATCACCGAAACGTGTAGCATTTATTTTTGTCGCAAAGTATTTGTTGTCCGTCGTAAAAATCTTATTTATTTTCATATGTTCTTTTTTTTACGACAGAATGCATCTCTGCGCGGAATACTCTCTACGGAGATTAAGGTAAGCAAGAAGAAGGAACTAGATGTTTTCAACTTGATACGCGTGCAGATTTTTAATGTTGTTTGAAAAGATAGGGTTTCAAAATAACAGGAGCATCATGTTAGAAAAGTGGAGTCTTTTCACCACGAAATTTGGAAAAATGATGTGGTTCTTGATAGCAAAACCTTTCGTCTTGTTTGCGTCGAAATTGAAATATTTTCTTAACTCATAAGCATGTCCTTGAGTTATTTTTATTGCGATTGTCTGCCATGGCAGAATATTAACATATTGAATATTTGTTGTCGTGCTTTTCGCCTGGTCATTCTTCGTGATTTTCCTGCTTCCCGCCCCATTTCTTGCGGTTTTTCTTCTCGTTCTAATTTTGTTTTACGCTTGTAGTTGACTAAAAAGTCATTAAAATTTTAATTTCAGGCCTTTTTTTTCTGCGTTTGAAATTCGCGAAATTTAATTAGCGGCAACTTTTTTTTTCGGTGATGACGGGTAGAGGTTTGCCATTTGTTATGTGGCATAATTGCACTGGATGGTAAACTTGTTTCAGCCGGCCCAGTTGTTACGTAGAAGAGCGCACAGTTTTGTTAAAATCTACGGAATCTTTTCCCGTGTTGTTAAAAATTATTGCAATTTCCCTGGATCATTCACGGCCATTTACATGACGCATCGCAACTCATTTCCGGCGCGAAACGGTATCGTCAAGGCAAGGATAGTTTTAATTTTGCGCTGAAAACAAATTGCAGTCGCTTTGAAAAGAAAAAGGCAGGAAATCAGGAAATAAGAGAAGTATTGCGTGGCTCGTATCTTGCAAAATAGATTAGTTTATTAATGTCATGAATCTCTTCGGGGATTCTGTTGAATAGTATCGCGCCCCAATCAAAAGCTAATTTGCGTTTTCAAGTCTGTAGCAACAACAATACCATAAATGTTTGGTGAGACAAGTTTTGTGATAAAACGTGTACCGCGGAGTTTTATCTGCGCATTTTTATGATGTGATCTTAATTTTCCTCACGACCTCAAATAGAATCTAGCACGTTTCTAAGAAAGGGCAAATAAACCAACTAACAACTTCCTACGCAATCGGAACTCGTCGAGATACCAGAACTGAGTAAGAGGCCAAGTTTTGCCACTAGCAGACTTCACACATTTGCATCTCGTGATTGTTTTGTTGCTGTTTGACCTTTCGTATTAGTTAATGAAACGAATGTACGCTTTAAGTTGTCCATTTCTCACTTAAAAATAAAGCCCTGCACAATTCTTTGGAGATAACACGACTTCAGCAGGAATTATGCGTGCAAAATGTTGCTCTGTGAACAGATGTTGCACAATGTTCACCCGCGACGACGGAAAAACGAGTTTTCATATCTATCGCTTTTCTTTCTATTGTAATTCGCGTCGAGTAATAAACGAGTCGCTCACAGCGGCAAAATGGCCGCGAAGTTCTTCACTGACTTTCAAGGAGATTTCCGTTAGGGTAAAATCCAAATTATCTAGTTGAATTGTTTTTGAGAAGGCCGCCGTATAACGCGGGTTTCGTTTGAATGATGGGTTATTTTTTGGAGTTTAAACACAAGTTAGGCCTTGAGGTGGCAGATTGTCAGGTCCATGTCTTATTATAATAATGGAAAGAAGCGAATTTAAATATCAATAGCCGGTGAAGCCTTTCTTGCTTGTAGCAGGTGTGTTCTCGACTGATTAATATGCGTACTTCGCCACGGTACTTTTTGTTATGAGAAGTCGAGGCCATGGACCATAATTTCTGAACGAGCTGGTTACCGCTAGCGACGTCCGTTTAAAAGGGGGAGGAAATAGAAAAAAAAACTGTCGCTTTGACATCATTGGCTGTAGGCTGATGAGTTTGTTTGGTAGTGAGTCATCAGAAGTAACGATCACCTTGTCAATTTATGCGCTCGTTTATTTGGGTCTGTACGATGTGGGATTGTGAGAAGCCACACTAGCTGAGGCAACATTATGCCGTTTGTTAACATCGGTTATTGAGACCGCTTGTGTTCCGCGAAGGTTTCGTTCGCCCGCTCAAAGTTCTTCGCCGTTCACCATTTTGAAATGCGGACAGGCAGTCTTGAGGTAATATCTGGTGCTTTCTACAGGGATGGATAAGGATAAAGATGCAGCAACAGCAGCAAAGAAGACAGGCGACTCGTCCCTGGAAATGCCAAACCCGGCAGATAATGAAAGATTGTCCTATTTGTCCCAAAAGGCGCGCTCCATGTCTTTGTATGGAAGTCAATTTCTTCAAGAAGCGAGAAGTCCCACACATGCCTTGTTTTGCTTGTCAGAGACAAACCCGATCCGTGAACTATCGAAATCCATCGTGGTGTCGAAATATCCTTTTTGTACGATTAAATACTGTTTATAACTAGCAGGGTTAAGTATTTATAAGTTGTATTCTTTAAGGTGATCCCCATAAAGTGAGCCTAAAGGGGCTCGATAGTTCGTCCTAAATAGTTCTCTGTTTTATTGTATATAGATATAATACATATAGCTGCAGTTAAGCCCTAGGCTGTTAATCTGTAGAACTGAGCTCTATATGATCCTTAACCTATCTAACAGTGTTTGAATATTTTATTTTGCTTGCTATCGGAGCCAACTGTATCGTGCTGGCCTTAAACACTCCACTTCCTAATAACGATCGTACAGACATGGCCCAGCAACTGGTGAGTGTGGCAGCGAGAAAACGGCAATATCTAATTATTTTACCTTCTTTTGAAAACGTAGGGCTTCCGAGTATCGAGCAATTCGTGTTTTACTCTGCTGTCTTTGTTGTTTTGCTGTAGGAAGACGCAGAATATTATTTTGTGGGGATATTCTGTGTCGAGGCGCTGCTTAAGATAATGGCCTTTGGCTTCGTGCTTCACCCGGGTTCCTATCTTAGAAATGGCTGGAATATTTTGGACTTCGTCGTTGTTGTGGTTGGGTAAGTTACCTCTCAACATATGGCTAGTTAGTCGCCTTGTACATTCGCACTTTTCACTTATGTATGGCGTTAAACGAAAATTTGAAAGTTGTTTGTTTTTGTTATTTATTTAGCCATAATTTTTTCAATCCATGAACTTTTTACATAGAGATTTACTGCTGAAAATTCAAAGCTGAATGCCCGTCCATAAGGAGGAAAATTTTCTGCTTTACGGCATTTTGTTCCGAGTTGCTCTTTCAACAGCCTTTCGACGTTGCTAGTTTTAAAAGCCATGTAATCATACTGAATCGTAATCATTGAGAAGTTGAAGTTCCTTTCACGCACGCGCATAGCTCCAGCGACGAGTGAATGATTACGGCACAATTTTTTTTTCCACTGTAAATTGCTCGGAATTCCTTTTTCTCCTCACTGTTGTTATTAATTAAAATCTCCAGCAAAACACGAATTGTGTTCCTCGTGATAACAATATCGTTTTTCCACAGATGAAAGTGAATTCAAAAAGTTGTACTCAAAATATACGCGGTTTGTTTTGTTATGCGGGGAAAAAACATATTTTGTCTCGCGGAAGTTGTTTCGATTCGAGCCGAATTTGAACTCCTTCAGACGGATCAAATTTGAACTTTGAATTAGCGAGGTTATTTCGACCTTCTGCTAAGGAATTGTCGCTCGGGCGGGAAAAAAACTAACGGAATGATAACGTTTTTAAACCAAGATGTCGGGCGATTTAATGTTTTCGTGAAAATGGCGTCGCTGTTCCTGATCTCGTTTTTGACATAACGAGATCCAACATAAAATTGCTGAAACAGTGCTGTAACAGCTGCGTGCAAACTGTGTCAAATGTCGTACCATTCGCGCAACTGCGAATCATTGAAAACATTTCGACGGATCAAGTCAGTCTTTCGCCAAAGACATTTGTCGTTTGATATGTATATAGTGTCGCTCAAGTCGATCAGTTGTGTCGTTGTTCTTTTGTTGTGTTTTCATTATGGCTTCATCATGCGGACTTGCGATAAATTTTTAAACACCAGCACTTTATGTTTTATGTGACTTTTTGTTCGTTAGTCTGTGAAAATCAAGCACAAGAAAGAATCACGAGATACTTCTTAGTGAAACGCAATATTCCGTGTTTTTACTTCGCTTCTCAGTGATTCATGTGTTGTCACTAGCGATCGCTTTCTACAAAAACATGAACGAAGTGTTAAGGTAATGTAAAAAAATAATCCATTTATTCATATATGTTAACATTTACGAACGCATTCAATCCAATATTTGACCATGTTCTTTTCGATCCAATAACCTTTAACATGTCTTGTAAATTCCTTTATAAACTAAAGCTGAAACATTTTGCTCATAAATTCAGTTTGAATGTTTTACTGCGACGATCATGAGAACGCTCACGAAATGCCACTAAAGAAATTTCTGCTCTGTATTAAACGTGACTGGTTTGGAGATTGTTTTATCCTAGTAAGCTACCCCGGACTTTGGACAAAAAAGGACTTCAGTTCCAGAGGCCCACGCTTTTTCATGCCATACACGTATTATTATAGTTCAGCTATCGCGAGGTACAATGATAGAATTTGTCGTTAATGCTATGCTGTTAGATTTAACATGATTCAGCAGGTTTTCACAGCAAATTGCAATGTTTGAGTAAATGTTAAAGCCTTTGCTGAGAAACACGTTTCGTGTCTGAAGTTGACATTCGATGGCTTCATTCAACGCTAGAAAAAAAAAAAACCTTGCATGAACGACACGAAATGTTTATGATATACACAGTGGAAATGACTAACGAAGCTGATTAGCGTCATTAGCTCCTAGCACACTGAGCGAAACCGTTGCCCGAACATGAAGACTCATTGTTAGGTCGACTAATATCGTTCAATTTACCTTGGCATTTATTGCTAACATTTTTTTGTATTTAGCCACGGAAAAGAAGTCTTAACTATACAGATGGTTGCATGTCATGTCACCCAATTTTCAAATTCAGAAGCTAAGTTTCAATTATTGAAATATCTCGAGTTATCCATGCATACTATTAAGGACACGGCATTTGTCTATTCAGTTGTCTGTTCACATCATTGTTTGCGTTTTATTTTATTACGCTAGAGGCTCAGTTCAAGGTCGTGTAAGACTAAAAAACCCAGGGACAAAACAGGAAAATAAGTGTTTTCTTGCCCGGCAACGAAAAGCTGCCGGTAAATAGCTCTTATTAGGACACAATTGATTCATGTAATGGCGTTTTAAGTCACACGATTAAGATGGCTCATTCAGTTCTATTCGTTAACGGAAGCTTGAAGCTGGGAATATGTATTAAAGTTATTTTGATTCAGTCACTTTACCTTATGAGGAAGAAAAAGACGTAATATATTATATTAAGAACGTTAAATTAGCATTTGGGCCAGTGGGTTCTTTATAATATATGTTGAAGGAAACGAAATCTTGTGATGTCGGAGTGTGGGCTTTTGTTTGTGTTTGTCTTTATATCGGGCTCAGCTCCTTGTGAAGTATAAGTCGTAGATGGCCTGGATGAGGTTAAACGGACAGCTGAGAATTGGTGAAAATTGTAAACTGTTGGTTGAAAAAATGGAATGAGACTTAAACCATGGTTAGTCCCTCCACTAACTAGGCTTAAACCGACAGCTGAGCCGGAAAGCGCCAAAAATATAACTGATCACTGAGATTCTAGCAGTCCGTGTGATAAATACGATGATATTAAGTGTACTAAATCACAAACCTAAAACAAGATTGCGACAATCCTTTGCTAAAAACAAGCAAACCAGTCTTAAAGATGCAAAACACTGTTACTGTAAACGTGCCGAGTGGGTGAAGTGATCCTGGGAGCTTTTAAGGTTCTCCAGAGTTGCACGTGACGAGTATGATCCCACGCGCTTGTTTGATCGCTTGCGGCTGATTCCACTGATCGACTTCTGCAAATGCGGGGGTTCCATGACTTCATGCCACGAGGATTTGACTTGTAGTGTGGGCGCCAAATTGTTATACAGATTCATCGAAAGCTTATGCAAGTTGGTCAACTTCACTGAATAACTTTAAATGAGGGCGGCACTTTTCAAAGTTCGTCCCTTATTGAGTAATTGTCAGCATTCCTTAGGAATGTTAGACAGGGACTGCTTTTTATTCTGTGGCATTCTATATGCATTTTGCATTCCGTAGAGCAGCTGTTCTCTTTATCTTACGCTTTTATGCCCTCTACTGACCGCGGCACGTTCAAACACAATTTTTATTTCTGCTCCTTTCTTTGCCTTCTTGAATGCCACTGTACGGCCAGTGAAATTTAAGAATCCTCACCTCAACAAGTTTATAAGGTTGTTTTCCAAGTTCATAATAAAGAACATGTCAAAAGCTTGGATAAGAATTCTTTCGTTGGAAGCTCGTCTAAAATCGGTACACCAAGGAAAAAAGTTAAACATGCAAATGGTTTCAAAGTCATGAAATTTTCTTGACACGTCCGGTTTAGTTTGTTTGTCATATTACTGACGATAAAACACCAAGAATCACTAAAACTGATCAAACCCTTGAGTATTTTAGTCGAATTATTCCTGGAGATCGGTTGTGTTTTATGGTTGCTTGAACTTGTGGTAATGATAAAATATTCCACGAGCGCGCGTTGCGTTGGATAAGAAATGATAGATAGCCTCGTTGACTATCACTATCTCACATCCAACAAGCGCAAGTGATAAAATTGTTTTATTTAAAACGCCCCCAAAATATAGAAAACTTAACTAAAATAAAAATAAGAACGCCTCAAGAAATCACGCGTACGCTTATCACATTTGTAGAGCATGGTATAATTACCATATACCATGATGGCTAAGCCATGAAAACCCTTGAATTGCATTATGCAATAATCCAGTTTTTATTATAACATAACTAAAGCAAAGCGCGCGCTCTGATTGGTTAATTTAGTGTCTGCTATTTGCCCATGGGTGTACGTTGCTGACGTGTGTGCTAATGTTTACAAAGCAAATCTTTTGACAGACAT